CTCAGAAGAATAGAAGGCTGAGTCAACCTTAATCACTTCTAGCCAGAAAAAGGTGATAAAGGAAACAATGAAGAAATGAGAAAACTTAGGGAAACTTCCAAGCAGCAACATGCAATATTGATGGATCTCATTCATTACTTGGATGAACTGCTTAACCAATAAGATTTTACAGAGAAGGCATGTGGCACTGGAGTTTTCCTATTAATTTATTTTTCCAAGCAGTAGCATGTAGGTCCAATCCTTGAATCTGAAGATTTAGTTGCTCCAGAAATGGAACATTGTCTCAACTTCCAGTTCACTTAGGACTCTGGTATAACATCAGATCATAATTTATAAATGGCATTAAGTCACATTTCACCACAGACATATTTCTTTTCCTAACCCTATCCATAATTTATTGGATTTATAAAGCCCCCTAAAAGCCACCTGACACCGGGGAACATGATCAGGTGCCAGATTGGAAAAAAGTGCTTGGGAAGGTGGGGCAGAAAATGTCAGCATTTAAGATCTCCATGACTGGATATAATAATGTGTAGTTTTATCAAGATGATCAGCCAGATTTCCTTAACTGGACTGAAAAGGTCCTTTGGAAAAGTTAATAGTGACTTGAATAGAGCTCATGTTGTTAGGAATTTATAGTCACCTAACAGTTGGGTTGGAAATATATAAACCAGGATAGACATTTAATACTGTCTCTTTAAAGGAATGATGTAATTGTAATTGGGTGTGGTTCCTCAAATGGCCATAAGATAGAGCCAGAAACCAGGGTTGTTAGTTTTGTTATTGCTAGATGTTCTGATGTTCACTGTTTTTGGTTCCTGCATTTTTCCCCATTGACTGTTGCTGATCGTCGTTCTTCTTGGATTGCTGTAAGTCTGTTACTGAACTGTTTATGATACTGGACTTTGATATTTGGATTATCCCTGGACTGAAAACAGACTGCTTTAACCATGTATGACTTGGAATGCTTGTTGGACTTTGCTTAACCATTTACTGGAAGTAACATCTACATTTTACTATACAGTATATCTGAGTGCTGGTTGTGTGTTATTCCTCACCAGTCTCACTACGTCTCCCTGTGTGCACTCATTCTCCTAACGGGAAATTACCTCAACACTGTTTATGGGCCCAGGCCATACAAGGCTCAGATAACTGAGAGTTACTGTGAATACACAGGAACGTATACAGACAGCTGTTTACTGCTTAATTGTGGGTTACTATCCTGGTAAAGATGGCACAAGACCCGTTAACAAGTGTATCACTGATAACCTGGTTGGATGGAACAAACTATGTTTCCTGGTCTATGAAGTGCAGTCTACTTCTGCGTAGGGAAGGGTTATGGGTGCAGTTCAGGATCCACTGAATGTAAATGCTTGGGATCCAAATAATGAGGATGATGCCAAAAAGTTAGCTGACTTTAAACGGAACAATGAACGAGCTCTTTGTATAATTGGACTAACATTGAGTGACCAGCAGCTAGTCCATATTCATGGAGAAGAGTCTGCTGCTAAGTGTTGGGAGAATTTGAAGAGGATTTATGTTCGTTACAGTGTAGGTGCACACATACATCTTACACATAAACTCTTTAGAGCATGTCTTCTGAAAGGTGGAGATAAGTTAGCTCATTTGAACTTCATGAAAAGAACTTTTCAAGAGCTACATGAAAAAGAACTGATATTTTCAGAGCTGCATCAAGTTTACATTATTCTTTCCTCATTGGATGAAAGTTATGATGATTACGTATCTTCACTGGAATTCCTGCCCAAAGATAAACTGACATTGATGACATAACTGGATGATTGTTAGAAGAGGTAAGAAGACAGCTGGATAGGGACCAACTGAGGAAGAAACAACCACAAGAAGAGAATTTGTGTTCAACTGCCTATACCGTTAGGAAATGTTTTTCTTGTGGGGCTAGGGGACATATAGCTAGATTCTGTACGAAAGGAAAATGACAGAATACTAGTAATCACCAGAAGGCTAAGAAGAATGTTAATTTAGCTATGTCTAGCAATTCAAATGGAAACCATGATTTATGGGTAGCTGATAGTGGAGCATCTCAATGCATTACTAGAAATAGAGAGAGGTTTGTAAAGATGTCCATGAGTAAGCAACATGTATTATTGGCAAATGGATGGAAGATGGAAGCGTCTGGTGAAGGTACTGCATATTGTTCATGCGTAAATGAGCATTTCTCTATGTTATATGTACCTAAACTGAAATTTAATTTGTTATCAGTAAGGGCTTTAATTAATATTGGTTATGTAGTAACCTTTAGGGGAGATAACTGTATAATAGAGAAAGGGGGTAAAAATGTTACTTCTACTTTAGAGAATGATTTATATGTGATACACGATGACCAGTTGCAGATGGCTAACTCAGTTTATAAGAACATTAAGCCACATGACAAATGTATACATTTACTGCATAGACGTCTGGGGCACATTAATTTCAAAATGCTCAAACAAACTGTTGAATTGTCAGAGGGAATAAAATTAAAACCCTGTAGAAAGTACTTAAACTGTAATGCCTGTAACCAGGAGAAAAGTAAGGTTACTCCTGCAAACAGACTAAATGGGTTTAAGACCAAAGAACCTTTAGAGATTGTTTTTGCTGACATGATTGGTCCTAAGAAACCCAGTTTGGGAGGTGCCTGCTATCTTTTGAGTATAATGGACCATTACTCATGATACGGTTTCTGCTACTTAATGAAAAACAAAACAGAAACATTCCAAAATTTCTTTAATTGGCTAAGTTTTGCAGAAAGAAAAATGAAACATAGGGTAATGACTTTAGTTACTGATAATAGGACTGAGTTTATTAATAATAGATTCCAAACGATGTTAAAATTTGCCGGTGTTGAGCATAAACGTTCTGCACCTTACATACCACAACATAACTCGTTTATAGAACGAAGAGGGCAAACGTTACAAGCTATGGCTCGCACTATGTTATCTGATTCAGGTTTGCCTGAAACACTGTGGGGTGAAGCCATAATGTGTAGCAACCATGTTTTAAGCAATGTAGTTAATACAACAACTGGAAAATTGCCATTCACTTAGTCTGTTTGCAGGAGTAACCTTTAGGTATCAAAAATGATAATACAACTGATTGCTGGAGATTGAAAAAGAGTATTTATTGGTTAAAGCAATCAGGATATGAGTGGAACCAGTGTATAGGAATTAACTACGATAGGTTTTGTAGCTGGCATGGCTGATCCATGTTTGTTCAAAAGGGAAAATGATGGTATAATTTCATTGTTGCTATTATTTACTGATGACATAACATTAATCACCAAAACTGAGCAAGAAGCTACTGAAATAATTTCACTATTAGAAAAGAAATTTAAAATAAAACAGTTAGGTGAAATTAAACAATATCTTGGTTTAAAGATAGATAAAACTAGGGGAGGATAAAAAATCTCACAGGCAGATAAAATTAACCAATTACTAAAGAATTTTAAAATGGAACTTTGTTAACCAGCTAAAACACCAATGGGCCAGGAATTTAGCCATAGTGATGTACAAAGTCCTGTTTTTGATAAAGATATTTATCAGTCCTTGATTGGTAGCTTATCTTATCTCAGTAATTGGTCAAGGCCAGTTATAGCATTCTGTATTAACCAATTAGTGAGGTTTAATGCTGAGACAACTGAAAGGCACTGGCAAGCTGCTAAGCATGTGTTAAGATATCTGAAACAAATGATGCATTATGCATTATATTTGGAGCCTAAGGAAGAACTAAGTTTAACTGCATATGCTGATGCAAGTTTTGCTACAGACGTAAATACACATAAATCAACATCAGGTACTGTAGTATTATTAGGAAAAATGTTGATTGGATGGAGGTCTATTCAACAAAAACATCTAAGTTTATCAACAATGGAGGCTGAATTCTCATGTTTGTCTCTTTTATGTACAGATTTAGTTTATTATAAGCAACTATTGATTGATATGGGAATTGATGTAATATATTCTATTGTTGTTTATGAAGACAACCAATCAACAATACAGATGGCTTCCAATCTTAATGTAAAAACAAGATCAAAATACACAGATTTAAGATATTTAAATGTGAGACAATGTGTGCAAAATAAAATGATTAAACTGTAGTACTGCATGTCAGAAAATAATATTGCTGATCATTTGCAAAAGCCCAAGGGTCTGTAAAGCATAAGGCTTTCTGTGAGGATTATGGACTTAAACTGTAAGGTTTTATATATTGTCCTACCCAAAGGGGAGAATGTTAGGAATTGATAGTCACCTAACAGTTGGGTTGGAAATATATAAACCAGGATAGACATTTAATACTGTCTCTTTAAAGGAATGATGTAATTGTAATTGGGTGTGGTTCCTCAAATGGCCATAAAATGGAGCCAGAAATCTGGGTTGTTAGTTCTGTTGTTGCTAGATGTTCTGATGTTTTTGGTTCCTGCATTTTTCCCTATTGACTGTTGCTGATCGTCGTTCTTCTTGTATTGCTGTAAGTCTGTTACTGAACTGTTTATGATACTGGACTTTGATATTTGGATTATCCCTGGACTGAACTGACTGCTTTAACCATGTATGACTTGGACTGCTTGTTGGACTTTGCTTAACTGTTTACTGGAAGTAAAATCTACATTTTACTATACAGTGTATCTGTGTGCTGGTTGTGTGTTATTCCTCACCAGTCTCACTACGTCTCCCTGTATGCACTCATTCTCCTCATGGGGAATTATAATTTAGAACATGTGTTGAGGTAATTCCCCATTATAATTTAACTTGTGTATCAACTCAGAGAAATGTCCTGTGGAGAAAAAGAGAGGAGGCTTTGTCGTACACTGATGACAATAACAACAGGTTCAACTGATTGACAGCAATCCTGTCTTCTGATAGAAGTAAAAGAAATTATATCAATCTGTTTTATGATTAACTCCTAGAATCCTGATAATACTTTTTTAACAAAAAATCTCCCTCCTGCTCCTTTCTAATTTTTGTCCTCTAACACTTGCAACAAAGACCTGTTCCCAAGAACTACCAACACATCCTGGCCTTGGCATTTGCCATTCAAGAGATCAACAAAGACCCACAGCTTCTCCCCAACATCACCCTGGGCTTCCGCATCTACGAAGAGAATCAGTATGCAAGCATGGCCCAAGACGTCAGCCTGTCTCTGCTCTCCAGCCGGGGAAAATTGTTCCCTAACTTTAAGTGTGACATACAGGATAACCTTCTCTCTATCCTTGGGGGTCTCAACTCCAGAATCTCATACCAGATGGCAACCATATTAGGCAATTTCAAGATTTCTCAGGTATGTGGACATGCAACATGATGAAAGGGGGGGGATGCTGTAAGCCAGGGGTGTTAAACTCACTTTCATTGAGGGTCGCATCAAGGTTGTGTTTGACCTTGGGGGGTTGGGGTGGGCGTGTCAAGGGTCGGTGTGGCCAGCTCAACTTCACTTGTGTCAGGGGTGCCTGTGGTGGTCTGAGCACTTTGCCAGTGAAAACAGGCTCCCAAGCTCCATTTTGGCTGCAATAGTTTCCTGCAACCCTCTGCCAGTGAAAACAGAGTTTGGGAGGTTTGCCCGCAGCCCTCACGAGCTGTGTTTTCATCTGTGATGGCTTCCTGCAACCATCTCCCAGAAAAAATGGAGTACGGGAGGTCTGCCCATGGCCCTCATGAGTTGAATTTTTGCTGCTAGAGGCACCATGGTCTACTCCTTTGCTGTTTCTAGGGAGGCCCCTCTGACCAGATCTAAGCACCTCGTGGGCTGGATCCATCCCCTGCACCTTGAGTTTGACACATCTGCTGTAAGCTCTACTTTGTGTAATTACTGCGAACAACTTGCAGAGCCAATTCTGTGACCAGTAGAAAACATCTCATGAAGATACAAAGTTGTGTGGATTGGTATCTAGATTAGATACCCAGCTAGTTTGGATGGTCTAAGGTTAGTAACAAAAAATACAGGTACCATTTTCCTTGATTAACCTCTTCCTTTTTCTCCATCTCCACCCTCCTTTCAGCTAGGTTATCGCTTCTCTGACCCGGTTTTGAGGGATAAGACTCAGTTCCCCACCTTCTACCAGATCGATCCTCAGTATCACCTACAGAATGCAGCCATTGTCCGGCTCCTTCTGTATTTCCAGTGGAACTGGATTGGGGTGGTTGTTCAGAGGTCAGAGAGCAGTGATCACTTCATCCAAATTTTTAATACCACCCTCGCCCAATATGACATTTGTGTGCAATTTGCAAAACAGATCCTTAACCAAATCTCTTTGTTCAATGAATTGCACAACGATCAAGTTGATGTGCTATGGACCATTTTGAACAATGATGCTCAAGTTGTGATTATCTCAGGGGATTCAAATACTCTGCAAAACCTTATAGCAGCCCTCTACATTTATGAAGAAGAGAATCAAGCTACTTCTGGGAAGGTCTGGATCCTGACCACCCAATGGGAATTTTCAGCGATTGGCTATCACTACGATTGGGTGAAATTAAAATCCATCCATGGCGCTTTGTCCTTCACGGTTCACACAAACCCAGTGCCAGGATTCAAAGATTATCTCTGGGCTCTGAATCCACATGAACCCCATGGAGATGTCTTTCTCCCCGAATGGTGGGAAGTTGTATTTGACTGTCAGGTTTTGAAGGCAGGTGTGGGCTCACCTGATGGCCAAAGGGTTTGCACAGGAGAAGAGAACCTGGACACCCTCCCAGCCTCCCTCTTTGATGGAAAGATGACCGGTTTCAGCTACAGCATCTACAATGCTGCCTATTCTGTGGCACATGCATTACATCGGTTGGAATCACAATGGGCATTGAAGAGAAGGGGAAAGAAGCCACACTTTTACCTCTCTGTGAAGCCCTGGCAGGTAACTCTCATCTCCTTCCCTTCTGACCAAGGAATGCCACCTTCTCTTGCTTAACCTCACTTTACACTGTTTTAGGATTTATTCACTTTTTCTTGTGATCTCCACTATCTTGTCTATGTACTTTCCCCCTCTTTTATTTAAATCTCATATCTTGACATTTACAAAAATTTCAGCAAAAGATTCATAAAAGGGAAACAATGAAGTAAGTGACAATGAGAAATAAGATATATAGTAAGACAACAAAATAATCTCATGTCAATGTAAGGGGGAAATCATCTCTCATGGGTGGCCAATTCTACCACTCTAGGTTGTCATTTTAGACTAGACTAGAAGAGACTAGACTAGACTAGACTAGA